AAATAATTGGATCGTAGATTCAGGCTGCTCAAATCATATGACGGGTGATAAACAGAAGTTGCAAAACCTATCTGAATACAAGAAAGGTCGTGTGGTGGTGACAGCCGACAACTCAAGGTTACCGATAGCTCACATCGGTAAGACGATAGTTACACCTCGATATAATTCTAACCAAGTGCCACTTCAAGATGTTTATCATGTCCCAAGAATGAAAAAAAAAATTTGCTATCTGTGGCCCAATTGACATCATCAGGCCACTATGTCTTGTTCGGTCCACAAGATGTGAAGATGTATCATGACCTCAAAATCTCAGAAATACCAACAATGGAGGGGCGACGATTGGAGTCAGTCTACGTAATGTCAGCAGAATCTGCATATGTAGATAGGACAAGGAAAATGAGACATCAGATCTATGGCACATGCGGTTAGGTCACGTTAGCTATTCCAAGCTAAGTGTGATGGTGAAAAAGTCAATGCTTAAGGGGCTTCCTGAACTTGACGTGCGAACAGACACAGTATGTGTGGGATGCCAGTATGGTAAAGCACACCAATTGCTATATGAGGAATCGAAGTTTAAAGTAAAAGAACCGTTAGAGTTAGTTCACTTTGATGTGTTCGGACCAGTTAAGCAACCGTCAATTAGTGGTATGCGGTACATGGTGACATTCATTGATGACTTCTCAAGGTATGTGTGGGTTTTCTTTATGAAAGATAAATCTGACACATTTTCAAAGTTTAAAGAGTTCAGAGAGTCAGCCGAAGGAGAAGTGGGAAAGAAGATCCGTTGCCTGCGCACAGATAACGGAGGAGAATATAGCTTAAGTGAGTTCTCTCAATACCTAAAGGAATGTCGAATACGTCATCGGCACACTTGTGCCAACACATCGCAACAAAATGGTGTAGCTGAGAGAAAGAACCGGCATCTTGCAGAAGTTTGTCGAAGTATGCTACATGCAAAGAACGTGCCGAGAAGGTTTGGGTTGAAGCAATGAGGACTGCAACCTTTGTGATCAACAGACTTCCTCAACCGAGGTTAGGATTTGTTTTGCCCTTTGAGAAACTGTGGAACATGAAACCTACAGTTAGCTACTTTCGAGTATTTGGCTGTGTATGTTATGTATTTGTTCCTAATCATTTACGGAGCAAGTTTGACAAGAAAGCTGTTAGATGTATCTTTGTGGGATACGATAGCCAAAGAAAGGGGTGGAAATGTTGTGATCCAACAAGTGGAAGATGTTACACTTCACGAGATGTGGTGTTTGATGAAGCGTCTTCTTAGTGGTCCTCAGAGAAGGAGGTGCTACCAGACTCCAGAGAATTTGGAGAAAAGCTGCAACAGAAGATGGGGGAGCATATTATCCAACTCCAACCAAGTTCAGATGAATCAGGAGATCCAAATGGCGATGATGTCGAACAAAGAGTGGCTCAGAATCCTTGGCAAACTGGCGTGTATGAACAACCAAACGAAGAAGGTGGGCCTAGTGAAACGGAAGAATCAACTCTACAATCTCAACTCCAAAGGTCAACAAGAACACGAAGGCCAAATCCTAAATACGCCAATGCAGCCATAATTGAAGAAGCAACAAAGCCTGAGACGTTCGAAGAAACATCGCAGAGTTCTGAGTGGATGATAGCTATGAAAGAAGAGATCGATGCACTTCAGCAAAATCAAACTTGGGATCTCGTGCCAAAGCCAAGAGATGTGAAACCCATATCCTGCAAGTGGGTTTACAAGATAAAGCGCCGTCCAGATGGGTCAATCAAGAGGTACAAGGCACGATTGGTAGCTCGTGGTTTTTCTTAACAGGGACTAGACTATGATGAAACGTTTAGTCCAGTGGCGAAACTTACAACAGTACAAGTCCTACTTGCACTTGCAGCTAACAAAGATTGGAATCTATACCAGATGGATGTGAAGAATGCTTTCTTGCATGGAGAGTTAGATCGGGAGATCTACATGATGCAGCCAATGGGCTTTAAAAGTAAAGCTCATCCTGAGTACGTGTGCAAGTTAAGGAAAACACTTTATGGTTTGAAACAAGCACCAAGAGCGTGGTATGGTAAGATTGCAAAGTTTCTCACACAAAGTGGTTATTCAGTAACACCTGCAGATTCCAGCCTGTTTGTCAAAGCCAATGAAGGAAAGCTAGCTATCATGCTAGTGTATGTGGATGACTTAATCATAACCGGTGATGATGAGGCAGAAATTCTTCGGATGAAGGAGAATTTATCAGTCCGTTTCCAGATGAAGGAACTTGGTCAACTCAAGCACTTCCTTGGTCTAGAGGTTGATCGCACACAAGAAGGAATATTTCTCTGTCAACAGAAGTATGCCAAAGATTTGTTGAAGAGGTTCGAAATGCTCGAATGCAAGCTTATTTCGATGCCGACGGAGCCAAATGCCAAAATGTGTGCACATGAAGGAAAAGATTTGGAAGATGCGACGATGTATCAACAATTAGTAGGTAGTCTGATCTACTTAACCTTGACTCGTCCCGACATTTCTTATGCAGTTGGTGTGATGAGTCAGTACATGCAAAATCCAAAGAAGCCTCACTAGGAAGCAGTTCGACGAATACTGAAATATGTGAAGAGTACAATTGAATATGGTCTTTTGTATAAGAAAGATGAAGACTGCAAGTTAGTTGGCTATTGTGACGCAGACTTTGCAGGAGATCATGACACCAGGAGATCGACCACTGGGTATGTCTTCAGAATCAGTTCTAGTTTCGTGGTGCAACAAGAGACAACCAACAGTGTCTTTGTCAACCACAAAAGCAGAGTATAGAGTAGCAGCAATGCCAGCTCAAGAGAATGCATGGCTGGTACAGTTGATGAGTGATCTACATCAACCAGTAGATTATCCAGTACCATTGTACTGTGATAACCAATCGGCAATTCACTTGGCGGAAAATCCAGTCTTTCATGCAAGAACCAAACATGTGGAGGTACACTATCATTTCATTAGAGAGAAGGTCTTGCAAGAAGAGATTGAGATGAAACAAATCAATACAGATGAACAAGTTGCAGACTTGTTCACTAAAGGTTTGAGTACCAGCAAGTTTGAAAAGTTTCATCGTCAACTCAGCATGGAGAAAAGAATGAGCTGGTGTTGAGGGGGATGGTTGAAAATTAACACTAGCCCAATTGGCGTGGCCTAAGACAAGTGATCCAATCCAAAACCAATGCATGCAAAAGCTAGAAAAATCTAGCAATCTTTGTCAGCAAAAGTAGCTGGAAGATTCTAGCAATTTAAGTTGGTTATCCACCTAAATATCTAAGCTAAAGAATGTATTAGAAGCTACAAGAACTCAAAGCCTTTTAGGAAAGCAAGTCGGTTTTCTGTATGTGTAATAATATGCTAGAAAATTCTAGCATTATTTATGTCGGCAACCACACCTATAAATAGGTGTGTGTGTGTGTGTGTGTGAGCTTGTAACAAAGTGTGAAAGCAATCAAGAAGAAGAAGTAAGAGAGAGCCAAGTGAGAGTGAGAAGTAAGGGTAGTCTTGTAGGAGTGTGAGTGTTCTAGTGAAAGAGTGTTCTTGAAAGTGTGTGTTGTAATATTTTGTGAGTATAATACAAGTAATTTGTTTACTTGTGTTGTCTCTCCAACACTTGTGTTAGAGTTGTGTACTCTAAATTTTTCCCAACATGGATGCCTTGTCAGTTTGGTATGAGATTTTATTTCTACTATTCCAACTCTCTTTTTAATTTGTTTAAACCAAGTTTAATTACTCAAATTTAGCTTTCAAAAATTACTATTTAAGCTAATACGTATGATCTCCTCTAAATATGCAGCATGACTATAAATGGGTGGGAGCTCATGATTCCTCTAGCTTTCTTTGCTGGAACAGGGTACCATTCTTTAAACTCGGCTCTTTTTCATTCTTTATTTTTTTTTAAACAAAAAACCTAAGTTACAAAGAAGATTTTGGAATGATTTTAAACCATACATATCAAAATTGATCATAGATACGACTTCTTTAGGAAAATTATCAAAAAAAACCAATAAAAATGTTATTACAATTCCTAGTTCAGAAAAGGGTCAGCTGCCCCTACCTCTTTCAATATGTACCTTTCACACTTTTACAAAAACAATTATAAAAATATAAGTAGAGATAATAAAAAAAATTGCAATTTTAATTTCTTAAACAGTGCGTAGAATTGAATGATATGAAAAATATATGACTGAGACTGAAGATACAAAATCTAATTGTGGAAATCCAATCTAACAGTTAAACATCTCTAAATTCTGGAGTGCTACACAGTATTAAAACTACACTCTTAAAATGGTATTAGAATTATTATTGTAACATAATATTATAATATTTCGTGTAAATGTTTTGAGTTGAAGAAGCTACCATCTTCATGTTGTGGATAATTAGTGACTATCACTTCACAATCATAAATGTGATGATTACTTGCGTACAAAGTTGGGAACTCGGGATCCTTGGTGTGTCAACTTTTAGCTTCTTTAGAAAAAAAGCTAGAAAATGTGACCGTGCTTTGCTGTAGGCGTTGAATGTATTATTCATGACAAGGATGAATAATTTCAACACAAAGTAACTAAAAAGACGGAGTCGTACCTAAGAACCAATGAAGTGATACTTTGCTTGCTATGTATGGATATGCTTGCTATAAGAAACCATTCATTTGTAGATCATATTGCGTCATCCGTATTACTCATCGTTTCAAGTAATAAGCCTACTACATGGGGGAAAACACAGAAAAGGGAAAGTAGAAAAGTAGAAGGCATAATACTTGAGCATCTGGCAGGAATAGTTAGTTTTTGAAAAAATTGCTAAATTGTCTTACAAATTCAAACGATAAACGTTATATTGTAACCACAAGATAAAGATAAAGTATATAGTTCATTTACAAGTCAAAACGAAGTGCTATCAAAGGAAAATGATTATGACATTGAAAATGCAAAATTGAATTAAGCAACCATATCTTTTATTAGTATATAGTTCATTTACAAATCAAAACGAAGTGCTATAAAAGGAAAATGATTAAGACATTGAAAATGCAAAACTAAATTGGGCAACCATATCTTTTATTGGTATCTAAACGAATAATTTAGAACAGTACAATCCCAATTCTAGCTCATCTGACTCATTTCTCATCCCTAGCTCTGTATTTGAAAGGCTGAGTAGCCAAGTTTGGAGAAGTCGTCAAATAATCACTATCTGAAGATCGATAATAACCTACATTCACTTTGCACATTCTATAGAAAATGGGATAGATTAACATATTTGAGATAATAAATTAAGCAGAAAAACGAAATGAATCCAATGACAGCAAATTGAACTTTTATATTACAAATTTATATTCAACAAATTGAACTGTCCATTTCAAATCATACATACATAGGCAGCAAAACAAAAACTAAACTCCCACCACATGAATTAATCAATAACCAAACAAAGAAAAATTCTTGGAGACCAGAACAAACCCAATTGAATTTTCATGTGAGTGATTGTAATTGAAAAAGAAAAACATATATTTAAGTGCCCAAAAGTTAAGCTTTACATCATATTTTGTTCTTTTAATACCAACAGTTTCGCTTTCGTTAAGTAGTTTATGTGGCTTTTGATCAATAGTTGTACTTACATAGAGAAAAATAGTAAAATAGTCAAACACATATGAAAGAAAGTTGGATCAAATTATCAAGAAATCTAAGTTAGAGTTGTTAAAATTCACTTTCATCTGTACAATTCAAACTTCTACACATTTATTCAAACACTTTACCAATTGTCAGACCCTACTAATTGCAAATATAGCAAGATAATGAATTCTTTGAGTGAAAAAAATGATATGCAACTTACTATGCCAAAGAAGCTCCATAAGAGTAGTAGCTTCCTCCTTCATTCATCAAAAGCATTGCAACCGTAGATCCTAGAAATTATAAAAATCCATCCAATCAAGAGACAATGTAATAGTTGTGGGAATATGAATATGCAACCAAGAATCTAAGGTATACCTGACAAATTTGCGATTCCATTATAATTTCACACAAAAAAAAATGATCAAATTTTGATTCAAACAAAACAATCTCATATGTTACAGATCGAACCAACCAAAAAAACAATCTATTAACATGACCTTCAACCTAACTATAAAAAGGAGCTTTATAACATCAACATGCCAAAACAACCAAGCCCAACAAATGAACGAACTAATTTTTCTTAATCAATAATAGCATACATATTATCAAATTATCAATCAATAATTCACGTATCGTTAAGGGTTGAACAAATAGATGAAGATTGAAAATTTACTCACACATCTAATATATCCTTTTGCATTTCTATTTGGATTCAGAGTACGTGGAAATCACATAAACAAATCAAAGTCCCTATATTTTTATCATCCTGAACTGGAAAAATATGTAAAATCTAAAAATTTTGACTGAAAATTTACTCACACATCTAATATATAAGATTGTTGATTTTAAAACTACTTGATTGGGTTTTAAATCAAATAGTACCACCCACTATTTTTGGTAAATTCCACATCCCTCTAAATGAAATTCGAGAGTTATGATGAACTCTTGGTGGGGTATGGGAGACTCACCATCACCAAGCACACCTCACAATGAAATGATGTTGGTTCGCAACAATAATGATGAGAGAATAACGCTTTAGCCATTTATAACTCTTGTAATTACCCTTCTAGTTTGGCCTTTAGAGAACGATGCCTCACAATAATTTGATGTTGGCACCATTGCACTTTGTTAAGTCATTCTCACCATGCTAGTTCTTGTAAGGGTTCAAGAATAGCCTCACAATGATACAATGTTGGCCATCCTCGTTCCCTACCTCACCACATCATATATGTATATGGATTCCTCCTGAATGTAAGCACACACTTTAAGCTTTCCCATGATAGGGTGAAGCTGGTGTATGAGTCACAAACGATTGGAGCCACCATGGTCAAAGGCCCATGAAGAGATGTTCAAAGCATCTCTCGTTTATCAACTTAATATTCGTTTTGAGAGAGTAATGTTGAGCTACATCAATTTCATTTTAATCTTTTTAAAAGAACTTGGGCCTATCACAAACATTGGTCCAAGTTTATATGAATTAGTAGTATATAATACTCCCACTATTTTGAAGAAACAAGCGAGACTATATGGAACTACTAACGAACACATAGGATCCTCATATGGACTATATAGTCATCTTAGGTCTTAGGATGATTATGAACTAGTTTAGTTGAATTGATCCAACATGTGCCTTGCGTTGGACTTTGGGTCTAATGTGGGTAGTTGTTGATTTAGGTACGCGTTTAATCTAATTAAATTGTTATTTCCTATTGGGTGTTGGACCCAACTATTCCAATTATCATGCAATTAAACAGAAAGGAATATTTGAAATAAAGAGAAGGGCTTATGCCCTTTTACAACACATTTGAACTAATCAAATTACATTCAAATCTAAACTACTTAACCCAATCATTCAAAATGTAAAGCGACCAATAACATAACTCAATTATCGAGGCCTTTGGTTCATAATCACCATATTCTTAATCAATCACATTAACTAAGAAAACAACTTAAACAATTGATTTTCGGATTCATAGAATTGATTTAAATTGAGCTAAATAAAATGAAAATCATTTTCTCATTAAAGAGCAAAACTATTTTGTGCTCAAGCTAATTTGGGCCTAATTTCAATAACCTCAACTATTGGGCTATTATGCAAAACACAAACTTTTGGGGTCATTTTGTAAAAACGCAAAAGTCCACAACTTCATGTAATTACAATTAGAACCCAAAATTTTCAACAATTATAAAACCTTATCAAGGAAACAAAACAATTTGTCCTTTAGTGATTTTGGGCATTTACGTAAAAACGTAAACTTTCCAGTCAAAATGCAAATATACAAAAGTATCAAAACTTTATGTAATTGCATAAAAGCTCAAAAAGTACCATACTTGTAGGGTGGCCGGTTTTGGAGAGAGTGAAGGTGTAAAAAACTTATGTAAATTTGAAAAACAAAAGGTGATATCCATGAAAAATAGAAAAAGTTTTGATATGAATAGTGATGTGAATAATGTAAATCATCTCACATCAACTATTACAAACAAAAAATAAATAAAATTCAAAACAATTTTGAATCAAACACCCAAAACTTTATGTTCTTGTTATGAACATGAAGAACACATCAAGAACAATTAAGAACATCCATAAAAACCCATAAGAACTCTATGAACATTTTTCACCTAAAGACACCCCAAAACTCCTCAAATTTAAGGTAAAAAACATACTAGCATACTAGGGTACTTAGGGGTTCCTAATATCACTCTAAAACACTTTTAACAAGACAAACATGAATCCAAAAATCCACCCTTTGGATTTGACCTAATTTTCCCACAAACATGCACCAAATTTCAGCTCCAAAATTCATGCATAAATGAACTACATTTACAACATTTGAGATGGCAAAATTTCCTAACAAAATTTGCATTCAAAGAAGTAAGAATAAAGCTTGTAACAATTACAAAAGTCAAATCATAAACTATGAAAATACAAAACCCAAAGGGATCACCATGCACTAGACCTAGGCTTTGACATTGTGGAGCCTAAAATAATCCTAAAAATTCTAGAGGCGACATGTGGATTTTTACTCAAGAAAGACAAGATTGCCTTCATTAAATAGGCAGGCTCCTCAGATGCTCCCACATGCATCTCACACCCTTGAAGGTCTCAACAGTTGAATACGACTACCCATAACTCACCTGCCCTTGGCAAGGAAAAGTTAAAGCATTAAAGATAAGCAGTAATTACCCAAATCCTATCTTTAATACATTCCACAATTGAAGATTGACTCCATTCAAGTAAGTAATACCAATTTAAATCAATTAAGGATAATTACTTCATTATCTCATGATATTATTACCTATTTAACATCTTGAGAATATTTCTCCATAAACCTTGGTCAATAGGATGCCAACATGTGTAGGGTAAAACCCTAACACTATGGCCGGCCCTCTCCTCCTATATATACCCCATATTCTACCAAATTTAAGTAAGCTTTTGCTACCCTAAAAAGCCCTAAACACCTTACTCATACTAGATAAACTAACTCCTTACCTCGTGGGTGCTTAAGGCTTAGGTCTTTGATCAAAGGTGTTGATTGTTTTGCAAGTGCATTTTCGTCAAAGCTAGAGACGACAAAAATTTGCATCGACAAATTGGTGCTTTCATTGAGAGCTGATTCAAATACTCGAAGAAACCTTTTGCATTTGGTTTCTTGAATTTTTTGTTATGTTGAATTTCTCACACGTCGTATCAATTAATTTTTCATAGAAAAGTTTATTGATCAATCCTTGGATAAAGGATACAATGGTTGGAAATTCGAAAACTACGATGAACGGAACCCCGTAAGCACAAAGATTTGGACCGAAGAGTGGAGACGAAGACATAGTCGCACGACGGTGGTCCTCAAGACTTAACACGACGGTGGGAGGAGCCCTATCGTCGCACCCACCACTTTGCAACCCACGGCAAGGACCATCGCTGCAACAGCAGCCTAAGTCAGAACCCAGACGCTTGCTACAGTGGCCCACTACTTGTACAAGAGCCCACGGCCCAAGGCTAAGAGGCCCATGATGTGGCAAATTCCACAGCAGGCCCAGCCTATTGCAGCAGCCCTAACTGCCATCCAGCGAGCCCAGACACTCCAAGCCCAGGTCCACGAGAACCCAGCAGAGTTGGCCCAGCCAGCAATAGTAGTTAACGGGCAGGCGGCCCAAGCCCATCTCCCTACCAGCCAAGCCCAGCTTACTATCAGCCGAGCCCAAGCCCGCGAAGTGTCAACGCCGACCCAGTGTGCATCGTATGCCCAAGGCCAGCAGTCATACACGCGAGTCCAGCACGCCTACACGCACGGCCCAACCATCCAGCCGAGTTAGCCCACCCCGCAACCCGCTTCAACGACTCAACCCACATCCCAATCTAATCCAAAGCCATTTTCGACGATCCAAATTTTGACCATCGATCATGCGATCGACCTAGGGTTATTTTCACCATACTTTTCAACAAGAATTCCGACTTTGGGCTCAAGCATTGTACCTGCAGTCCACTACACTTCCACCACACATAAAGATACCGATTATCCAGACTTTTCCAACCAAATGGCCAATACCACCTGCCCTAGTAGGTCGCCAATTTGACAAGCGCCCTCGCGCAGTAGACTACCTTGGTGAACTAGCTCCTTGAGCACATCGAGACGTAGCGCGCCCCAGACGAGGTGTCCTGAAGCAAGACGAGGGTGGAAGAACGAGTCTCATTCCAGTGACGTCTCGGTAAAGAGCCACTCAACCCGCCATGAACCATGTGTTAGGGTAGTGTGCACTTTCATTTGGGTCCTCGGGAAAATGTCTTTTTCTGCCTCAGTGAGTAGAGAAGCATTTATTCACGAGTCAGTGTGCGTTTGAGGTTGGGTTCATACTCCGATGAACACTCAGGACATTCCAAGCAAAGCCTCCATACAAAGCTAGGCTCACAAGGAGATTCTCCTGCGAGGCACCATAGTAGGCAGCCACATGGTGGACCGATGAGAGCAAGAGAGCAGTCCAATTTATGTAACATCCCACATCGCCCAAGGGAGTGGATCCTGTAAGCCTTATATGTATATTCCCATCTCTACCTAACATGAGGCCTTTTGGGAGCTCACTGGTTTCGAGTTCCATTGGAACTTTGAAGTTAAACAAGTTTGTGCGAGAGTAATCCCATGATGGGTGATCCACTAGGAAGTTCTCGTGTGAGTTCCTAGAAAAAAAATCGTGAGGGCGCGGTAGAGGCCCAAAGCGGACAATATTGTGTTACGGCGGAGTCCACCCTGGGATGTAGTGGAGCCCGGGTCGGGATGTGACAATTTGGTATCGAAGC